CGCACGACGCGCTCGTCATGATGCCTATATCTGCTGCTTTAGCCAGGAAATTGTGTATAAAATGGCAAAGAACCCGAGGAGCTCGTGCGTCGGTGGGCAGTCGCTGTGCTGCACCGAGTGGAACCAAATGATGTACGACCCGTCGGGCTCTTGGTGCCAGTAGCGCAAGAGGCAGAAGTCGCGCGCTTCGACGACGACTGGCCACAGTGATTGCGGACTGAGCTTCCAGTAGACAATGTCGGTGTGGGCATCAACGGCCTCGAGCACGTAGGACCGCTTCAGGAGGCAGTTGGACTTGTAAAATGGACTGTCCGTCTACATGCGATTTCATATTCTGGACTGAACGTAGTAGAAGAAGGGTACCTGCAGCAGCATGTCCAAGACGCGCTGGCTGCTCGCGGGAATGTGCAGCGAGGCTTTCATGGGCGGCCACGCCGGCGACGGCACCGGGTGCGCATACACGCGCAAGTTGGAGTTTTGCGTGTACAAGCTCCAGCGGTCGAGGCCCTGGAGCCAGCGAAATTGCTTGAGCATCGAGCGTGGCAGGGACCCGAGCGACGGCCGGCGCACAATTTTCGGCGGCGGCGCGATGGCCCGAGTGGTCTTGGGCGTTTTGGACGTTGGTGGTGACGTTGGCGGGAGCGGCGACTCGGTCGCTTCGTCCACGTCGCGGTCCTGGGCGAGGTACCAGTGCACGTATTGACGCCAATGAGCCTCGGCCTGCGCAATGCACTCGAGGATGCTGTTGCGCCACCAGAGCGCCGTCTCGAGCGACTCGGCAGCGAGTGACAAGGGCGCGACCGAGCTCTTGGTGAGGAGCGTGCTGGCGCTGGCCGTGAGCGCTGCGGACGAGACCGCCGCGGCGCCAACGCCGACAAGACCAATGCCGGCGAGGCCCCCCGTGAGAACCTAAAGACACAAGCCCTCGGTACACAGAGGAATGCAAGGGCAGCGACGTACAACGGCCGTGGCAGCGGTGGCCGCCGCTGCGAGTTTCTTCATGCGCGCCTTCTTGATGTTGGCTTTCGGATCAAAGTCAAAGTCAAAGCCGTCACCAGATGTGGTGCCCGGCGTCGCCAATGGCGTCATGGGCATCGCTTCGTTGTACTCTTCCGACTCTTCCGAGTACGTGCTCGAGTAGTGCCGAATGCGAAAGGTGAAGAGGCGCTTCGACTCCATGAGGCTTGGCGACTCGCGCACTTCGTCGACCGTGCAGCCGGGTCCTAGCGCATACCAGCCTATGTACAGCCTTTGAGCACGATCGCAGTCGGCAAAGAGGCGTACCTCGGGGCTCGCGGTCGCCCTTCTTTCGAAAGTAGCACAGGATATGCGTCCCGTTGGGCGCCGACCGGATCATAAAGTACCGTTCGCGCCAGAGGTTGACGTGCTGGCCCTTCTTGCGCAGGTAGCCCTCGATGCGGATCTCGCCAAGCGACGCGACGTCTTCGCCCGCCGGCACCGACCGGCCGCTGGAGGATGCACCGCGCAGCGCGCGCTCGAGGCGCATTTCTTCGACGAGCACGAGCAATTTGGGCTTGATCCAGTCGCGGAGAAGACCTTCGACTTGCAGGTCGGCGTCCATGTCCGACGCTTGGCGCGCGACTGCGGCGCGGGCGTCGGCTTCCTTGACCAAAGACTCCTTGGCCATGTCTTCGCAGAACTTGGAAATGCGCGCGGCCATCTTGGCCGACACGGTCTTCTCGGGTAGCATGATGACCTTCCAGAGCTTGACAAGCGACGCCTCGAGAATGTGGATACCGCTCTCGCTGCTGGCGTAGCGCGCGGTGAAATAGTCGTTGCAGATCATGTCAAAGAGCATCGAGATGTCTTCGTTGTTGCTGCTTGCGTCTGGCGACGGCGCGGACGACTCGCCAAACTCCTGCGGGCCATGGAAGCTCGCGGGACGCCGGTTCAGGCGCACGGGCGACCCGGTCGCGGCCGGTGGCATCGATGGGCTGCGCCGGGAGAACGGGTCCGGCTCCGCGAGCTTGGACGAGCTGCGCCCGCGGGCCAGCGTCGCCGGCGCCCGGGGGGAGGTGGTCGGGAGCATCCGGCAAGGTGGCGGTGGCTCTGGGACCCACGTTCCATTGGCCAAAAGGTGCGATACTTCCATAGTATTATCCAATCACCACGCATTTAGGGCTTGTGCGCACGAGGATTGGACAAAATCACGTGGCACGATCTTCGTATAGGCTAGCTCGTTGGCGTCGTCATCATCATCAACA